TATCCCCGTCACTATACTGGGGCGTTAGGACCCACGCAGACCACAGGGTGAGCACCCCTTGCTGGCCTCACTAACACCTCTTCCAGCAGCAACCTAGTTTTCCCAGGAGGTCTCGCATCCAGGTACTAACCAGGCTCAACCCTGCTTAGCTTCAGTGGGTGACCAGTCTTGGGCTTCAGGGTGATATTGCTGCTATAAAAAGAGCAAGAAAAATTAATAATAATAATAATAATAATAATAGAAACAAATACAAATGAAATAAAACTAAAAACAAATAATGAAATAAAGAGGTGTAAGTCTATAAGATGGTGAGTGGATAGAGAAAGGGGTGTAATGAGAGAGAAGAAGAAGAGTGGAACAGGTAGAAAGAGATGAGCAGAGAGGAGGGAGTGAGAAAAGGGGAGAGGGGAAAGAAAGGGAGAAGAGATGAGTAGAGAGGAGGGCATTGGTGTAGTGGAAAGAGCATGAGGAGAAACTGTAAGATGACATGGACAGAGAGAAAGTGGACAACAGGGTATAAGGGGTGGAAGGAGAGGTAGAAGGTGCAGTTGAATTTAAAATGAAATCAGAATTACCCTAATTGACCATGTAAAAAAATCGTGGCCTCTCCTGGGGTGGGGGGTGTCCTCCTATAGTCCTCCAGGGACAGCTTATGTTATTTACTGTAAATGTCCAAACATTTTTCAGAATTTAAGTTTGAGATCATTCAGGTGGACAATCAAGATTATTTTGAATGGAACAGGAGCATTGCTGACATGGTGGTCCAGAACAACACCACCAGCCACAAAGGAAGTTGCCAGTGGAGATGATGATGATAATAATAATAATTTATTATATTTATATAGCACTTTTCTAAACACTCAAAGCGTTTTTACATTGTGAGGGGGTATCTCCTCATCCACCACCAGTGTGCTTAGGAGGCCATGATGGTCAAAGGCCAATGGGCAGATTTGTCCAAGATGCTGAGGTCACACCTCTACTCGTTTCAAAAGACATCATGGGTTTTTAATGACCACAGAGAGTCAGGACCTTGGTTTAATATCTCATCCGAAGGACAGTCCTTTTTGCCCCATCACTATTCTGGGGCACTAGGACTCACACAGACCACAGGGTGAGCACCCCCTAGTGGCCTCACTAACACCTCTTCCAGCAACAACCTAGTTTTCCCAGGAGGTCTCCCATCCAAGTACTGATCAACCCTGGTTAGCTTCAGTGGGTGACCAGTCTTGGGATACAGGGTGACATGGTATGAGATGTTGAGACAGGAGCTTGTCAAGCATGGATTCTACCTTCTTACATTTTTCCCCCTATGATACAAGCGCAGCAAATAATTAGTGAAGATAAAATGCAATGAAATTCTCTTCCAAATGTAAATGAAAGGCAAGATCAATAATTCAGGATAATTCATGTATACAGCAAACACACTCATGTGTGTATATACAGTGGTGGCCAAAATTATTAGAACACCAGTATTTCCACAGCTAAAAAGATTTATCATGTGCTGTAAAAGACTGATCTGTAGTTATCAGAAAAGTTTGTTTGCAGTTCTTGACTTAAAAACAGATTTTAAGTTTAAAGCAATTCGTTTTTTTTTCTCATGGGTGATAGCAGGTGTTGGTTTTGGATAGTTTAGATAGACACAATTTATGTAAAACAAAACTCCCTGTTGAAGAATTGCAATAAACATGTATTTTCATTAACATATTTGTGCATCTACAGCTGAATGCGTTTTATAATCAATAGAGAACACACCTATAGATTTGATGTTAATATTTACTTTTAATTAATGCATTACTAGAAAAAATTGCAGTGCTTCATTTTGTAGTGAAGTTGAACTGTTTGGTAATAGTTTTGTGTTTGGATGGCTGTGCTAATTGTTTTGAGAACAAGTACATTGCATTGGAGAAAAGTGTCAAATCGATTTATAAAAAACTGTAGCTTAAAACACCGCCACTGAAACGCGACGCAACGGCCAAAGACGTCCGTCTTACGCATGTCTATCTACCAACAACTGTGCCCAAAATAGCGAAGACAGAACATGCATATTCCTGTGTAAACGCGTCCAGTAAGACGCAACTTCTGGCTTGAAGAGTACCAGTCTATCTTCCGCTCTTGGAATACAAAAACGTAAAAGTCTTTTTTTGCAATTATAGCCAACAAAAATGTTGATAGTAAGAAGTGAAACAACTCAGAAATCATAACAATAATAGCAAGTTTTGTGCTGCCTACTTACAGATGGGAGTCGGGAAACTGTATAGCGCTTCCACAGCTGAATAAAGACAGAAGTAGAAGAATAGCAGCGGACAATCTGAGAGCATCCATTATTCTTCTGACTGACATCCAACAGACGAGTTTCTCCCTCTAAAATCCACTGACTGAAGTGACCCTCCTAAAGCAGCCGAGCTGCCGCCATGAGCGCCGCTATACTTCCACAAACAAATCTCAGATGCTTTTGGTCCCTCCAGCTACTTCAGCCTTTGCCCTGTTGAATTAGTTCAGATGTTTCCCCAGAGATGTGGAGACTGGCAGGGGGAGTCGGGTACGGGGCGTTTCCGTGTCCCTCCGGTTTGGCAGTACGTTAAGAGTCTGTTTTAGACTGTGCGCGCTGTGGCGGATCAGTTTCCACAAGGCCCCCACCCATCTGCGCGCGATCTTCCTCACGCGTGTCGCTCCATACAAGGAGCTCGCGCCGCACAGTATAGATACGCGCTGCTAGGCATCACGAGCTCATAGCTTTGAATGACAAGAAAGTTGGAGTTTCATCAGATAGATAGATAGATAGATAGATAGATAGATAGATAGCGACAACAATACATTTCAGAGGGAACATTTTTGTGGACTTCTTATGCAATTTTAGATTTCTCAAGGTATATTTATTTGTTAAATTCCATTTTTATAGGAATACAAATTAAAGTCTCTACAATACGTTTGAAATTTTCTTCTAAAATTAGCATTTTTCCCAAGTTCCTGTGTGTAGGTTCAGTAATTTCACTTTTATGGCAATGAATAGGTTCTTATTGCCATTAAAGTGAAATAACTGAACATAAGCATACAAGCCTGAGAAAAATGCTAATTTTAGAAGAAAATTTCAGAAGGCACTTAGAGGTTTTTGCATCTGAACTCTTCAAATACAGTTTTAGTTAAAAAAATAAAAAATAAATAAAAATAAAATAACTGCTATTATTGCCTCAAAAAATAAAGATACTCTTTACTGAAAACAAGTTGACATTTTGTGTTAATGATAGTCAACCTATTAAGCAGACTATTGTAGGTTTCAGTAAAATGGACACATTAAAACAATAAACATAAAAAAAACTCTTTTAGTTAAAAAATAAAAAATAAATAAAAATAAAATAACTGCTAGTATTGCCTCAAAAAATAAAGATACTCTTTACTGAAAACAAGTTGACATTTTGTGTTAATGATAGTCAACCTATTAAGCAGACTATTGTAGGTTTCAGTAAAATGGACACATTAAAACAATAAACATAAAATGCACATTTTGCATCTTATTGTATGTATAGTCCCAGGCTCACTTATTGCTAACTGCTAACAGATTGACAGATGGACAGACAGTCAGTGAGACAGACAGGAACATACAGACTAACACACACACACACACACACACACACACACACACTGCAAACAATGTTAAATTATGGGAACATTATGTTACTGAGAGTAGTAACATTAAAAAATAACGACGAGTGTCCGACTAAAAAGTTTCAGAAATAAAAGGCATATAATAATCAATGTATAAATAACTTTTTGTGCTGCTGTTTTGAGAACATTTGTGAAGACCATATAACTCAGAATGAACATTCTATTAACATAGCAACGTTTGTTCATAAATTTGAGACAACCTTGTCAAAACCTAAATTATGGATGGATGGATGGATGGTCAGGCAGATAGATAGATAGATAGATAGACAGACAGACAGACAGACAGA